AGTATTTATTATAAGAAATATTTAATTAAGGTAAGATATTCCTTTAATTTCTTGATTTTTTTTCAATTTTTCAAAGTAAAATCCATTGCATTATTTTGATTAATAAGGTCCTCATAGTCTTCACCCAAAATTAAAAACAAGCTGAACCAAGCAAAGACACACTAGCTCAAAACCACACAGCACCCTTTCCTCAACAGTCTGTGCAAAGCAAAAAAAAAATTCAGCTACTGAGGATAGATTAAACAATATAAACACAAATAAAGAAAAATAAATTCAATAGAGAAACAAAGCATCAGAGGCTTGTGAAGATACACAGTATATTAGCTACCTCTTTAAACATGTACAAAAGCATACTTGTATACATCTATCTCATTTCATAGACTAAAAACAGTTTGTCAGTCAAGAGATATTTTATAAGCTTTTCAGTCAATTTAGTAATTATTCCTCTTTCTCACATCATCTCACCGATTATTCCAGACAGAAATAAATGCACATTTATGGAATATTTACTATCTTATTCTACTAACTGTTTACCGGTTTTAGAAGTTAGAATAATTAACAAACATAATTAAAAAAAAAATTAGTCATCTGGCTCTAGTTTATAGTGATACTAACATTTAAAATTTGGGCATCAGACTAATAACAGCAGTAGTTATCCAAATAAATAGGTGAAGTAATACCTATGATAAGATATGAAATACTAAAGGTGTTAAACACTGCCAGAAGAAATCTCAGTCACTGTTGTCAGAAGTTCATTAGAAAGGCTACAATGCCTCTACAAATTGTTTTAAATACCATCTTCACATACACTTTAAGAAAGAGCTCTGATTTTTTTTCTACATTAAAGCTTACCTCTTTGTGCAGTACAACACGTCCAACATAAGAGCAGAGCTGCATAGCCCAGGAACAACATTCTAGAGACTCAGAAACTCATCCAAACACATCCAGGATTGGACTTTACTTTTTTTGAGTACTCTGTGTTATTTCCACTCCTGTTTTACTCACTAACTGCTCCAGAGACTGACCTTGCAAACCATTTATACTCTGATTTCAGCAGTCACTTCCCCTAAACCTCTTGCAACACACAAGTATTTCTTTTTTTTTTTCCCACCTCTCTCTAAACCTTGCTAAAGGAATAAATAAATAAAAGCCTGGCAATTTACGTTGGCACGTTCCTTTCCTGTGATCTGCTTGTATTTTCATCATACTTTTTCTCTTTTTATTCCTTCAGATTTATCCCCTACATACTCATATAAGGTTATTTTTTTGGTATCTAAAAGCAGTTGTACAAAGAAATTATTTTGTGATTCTTTGTTTTCTAACTACAAGCAAACAACACACAAAGTCATGTTAACTGTGTGTAAAAATGAACTTCTCTATACATATAATTCAAGATCTATGTTAAAAACAATCAAAATAAAAGGCAAACAAAAATATAAAGTGGCTTACTGGTCACTCACTCTTTCTTATATAAAATAACCAACTGCCCAGAGCAAAGGAAATATACTTGATCAAATTCTTGATTAAATCAACTTAGGTGAAGCTGAAGCACTTGTTTCAGTTTCACATGAGAAATAAG